GGGGGTGCTCAAGTTTTTGTTGACCTCGAGCCCGCCCAACAGCACGTCCACTGCTGTCGGGGCGGGCGATACTTCGTCTGCCCGCCGCTTGTTACGGCGATCGCCCGTCAATTCTCGGGCGTTACGGTCGGAGTCGGAAGTCGGCGCGGACGAATTGCCGCGGTTAAGTGTCGGCGTGGACGCCATAGTTGAGCGATTGTAGGTAAAAATGTCGCGCAGTAAAGTTGAGGGTGACACTCCTCTCGGGAGACTGCGAGTTCTAGCCAGCTTGGACGGAAAGAAGTCTACTCGAACAGAAATGTTGAAAGAGCCGTTGAAAATAGAGAAACGTGGGTGGAGGGAAATGAACTCCAACCCACGGTTTTTGTAGTTGGAGAAGGGCGTTTAGCGCGCTTCGACGCTGCCAAATATTCGGTACAGGCAGCTCCGCTTTCACAATACACAAATTTGAAAAACACGAATGTGTTTAAAAATTATAATTTTGTCAATCTGGCATGTACTGTACATGCTGCATCTTCCATCTCTTCAAGCAAAAAAGACGTGTGCAAAATGCGTGCAGGCCACATTTCATTTCCACTATCCAATTCAAAGCAGGAAAACACAATCTTGGGCTTATAAGCCAAAATAGCAAACACTTGCTCACAAGGGTAATGTACCACACTGCGGTCTGTTTTAGACTGTTTACGGACATCATGGGATGGAGACCCACCCATGCCAAAGCCAACCACCACAAGGTCGGCCCAAAACATTTTTTTACTAAAAAAATTGGTAAGCTAATGGAGCCGTGTCTGATGCACAAACTTTGTGTGCTCTGCTCCATGTGGTGGTGACATGGTAGCTGTCACAGCCTGCAAAAAGTTAGTCCAAGAGCATCCTCCCACCCAGCTGCAAAAAAACTTCATACGGAATACCAACCTGATCCAATCAGTATTGGATACCAACCTGATACTTAATACAGAATGAATACCTCACTACCGAATTAATACTGACCTGATAGCTTAATACCGAATGAATACTGACCTGATACCTCAATACCGAGTGATTACTGCCCTGATACCTCAATACTGAAAGAAACCGAGCTGATACTGACCCGAATACCGAATGAATACTGACTTGACTATTGCCCTCAGTATCTCTAACTCTGCGGTATAGAAACTTGTTCAGGGAGGTACGAGACATTTACAAATGGTTACCAAGAACAGTTCCAGTTTAAACCGCACCCACCTTCTCCTGTTCTGTTTCCCATTTTAAAGCTTCAAGCTAACATCAGAAGTAGCAATATGGCTGAGCTGATTGCGAGGTGATTTTCTTTGTTTTTCTCAAAGTCACCGAAGCTCACCTCATTGCGGGCCAGCAGCTCAGTTAGTGTCAGAATCCGTCAGAAGTCGCATTCAACGAAAGGCTTACCACCACACCCTCCACTGCTTTGACTCACTGAGGGAGGGGGGGTGAGAGAGAGAGGATGAGGTGGAGAGCACGGGGCGTGGGGAGGGTGAAGGGGCAGGGAGAGGGTGAGTGCTGAGGTAAGGGATATGGGGCATGGAGCGATAAATGAGTCATGATCTTCAGGCCATGAGCTGCAATTATGGTCACAGTGCTTACTGGTGATGCTTAAATGCCCATAGAAAGGCATACAGAGTCACAAGCATAGTTAACAGTGTGCCACATGCGTTTTACATGGGAAGAAGGAAATGTCTCCTTGGCGAGGCGATTGAACATAATGTGAAAGAGATCATGCCCAACTGACACACTCATGCCAACTGACACTTTCATGCATGCAAGTGCCTCTTGTAGCATGCATACAAACAATGTGAGACATACTCATGCCGTACGCCCCTCAGCTGCCCCAAACGACAATATCAACAACCCATACAGCAGATAAAGCTCCTTGGTTATTGCAACTGGTGTCTTAACTTTGTGATATATACACATTAATGATCATAATAGCATCTAATTTACATGGGCCTACAAGTAACAGACTTAGCCCTATCAGTGAGTGAACTATATCATACGAGGTAATTTTTTTCCTATACACTAGCAAGTGCCAAGTCAAGTTTGTCACCTCCACCTGGGTTGCTGGGACTGCTGTTTCTGCGAGGCTGCTGTTGTAGTCTGGCCTCGCAGCTCACTGTTGCTCCTTGCTGCTGCCTGCAATCCCTTCTTCCCCTCTCCCCTCACAGCCGAAATTGAACCTTTTCTCAATCTGCTCGTGGCAGCAGCAGCCCCACCAGCAGCAGCATGTCTTGCTGACTTCTCAACTGTCACTGCAGAAATCTTACCCTTGCATCCGACACTTTTCGCTGCAACCTTGCTTGCCTCTCCCTTTCCAGTCCCCCTCACTGCTGCACCACAGGCTGCTGCCTTCACAGGCGGCTTCACTGCCTGTGGTGTGGCTAATTTCGCTGCTGCTTTCACCGCTGGTCGTCCCGCTGGCGAAGCTGGTGCGCGTGCTGATGGCTTGCACGCAGCCGGCTTTACCACACCGGATACTGCTGCCTTGGCCACTGGCCGTACTGATGGGGCTGCTGCCTTGACCACTGGCCGTACTGCGGCCTTCGCCACTGATCGCGATGGTTTCACTGCTGATCGTGCTGATGGCTTGCAAGCCTCTTTTTTAGACGAAGCACCAACAGGCACAGCAGCAGAAGCAGCAGCAACGGCGCCAGCAATGGCGTCAGCAACGGCATTCGCAGCAGCAGCCGCAGCCACAGGCACAGCAGCAGCGACAGCAGCACCAATAGCGTCAGCCGCAGCACTCGCAGCAGCGGCAACCACGCCAACAGCAGAAGCGACAGCCGTGACAAGGGCGGGCCTTAACGGCGAGAAGCCCAGCCGCGCTCCACCACGGTGTTCCCGGCGGTTCTTGCTCGCCTCAGCAAAGCGGCCCAGCTTGAGAGCCACCTCCGTGGAGGTCATGGGCTTGCGAGCCGCCAGCAGCAGCATCTGCTCGCCTTCACTTTTAACTGCAGGAGTCCTGATCGAGTGATCGTTCAGATAAGCCTCGTCCGCGTCTGTCCATTCCGTGACGAATTCAGCGGGGTTAACTGAACCGTGCTCGGCCACCCACTCGGCAACACTCCAGCCAACGGGCGTCCTTACTGAAGCACTTCTCAAATACCTATCATCCTCAACCGTCCACTCTGTGATAAAATCATCAGAGTTTACAGCATGTCCCACCAGAAGCAATAGCTCGTCGCTTACGCTCAGCGTAGCACGGCGATTCCTGACGGGAGCTCTCAGATCGGCCTCGTCTTGAGCAGTCCATTCGGTAATAAAATCAGCGGAGCTTACTGTTGTAAGTTTCGCCAAGAGCAGCAGCTCCTCGCTCACACTGAGTTCAGCCGGTGCTGCTCTCAGCTCGGCTTCATCAGCAGCAGTCCATTCGTAGATGCAATCGTAGGGAAGCGGGTTCACTGCAGGGCAGTCCAACCAGCTCGGTACCTCCCACAGGTACCTCGCTGCGTTTCCGAAGCATGTGGCAGCAGCAAGAGCAACGGCAAGAGCAGTTTCAGGGTTGACCGCGTCCATTCGAGCAACGAGAGCACGAGGCAAAGTCTGTGCAAGTGACTGAAAGAGCGTGTGAAGCAAACAAGCTGTGATTGAATAGAAATGGTCGTCAAGTGACCATTTCTACTGACACCCGGCAAAGGATTCCCCCGTTAACGAAGGGGCCGTCGTTCGGGCGTTGGTTCGGCACTCTTGGGTGGAGCTTCGGCACCACACCCGTTTACTGCGCTCTGAGGCAAGTGCGACGCGGCAGTGGGTGGTCCACATTGCTGCTAGCCTGACTGTACCGCCAGCTAACACGAAAATCGGACGGTTGGAGTGTCTCCGGTGCATCTGCGGCAAAGCTGTGCCCTCGGTTTGATTATTTAACAGCACGCTCACGTGGATGACAGCTAGATAAGCTCAAATCGGACGGTTTAGAACAATTCGACATTTTCGGAGCCCTGTCTACGGTTTAGGTTTGGCACCAACATCCGCAGCGCGTGGACGTGAATGGAAGCTGGTGACACTCATTCTTGGTAGCCCAGCATGACGTGTTTCACGCGTGGATCTAGCGTGGCGTGGCAGGGTGGGGTCATACCTGGTGGTGGGATAATAAATGGGGAAGCGCATTGTCCCACGTGACAAAGCTCGCTCTAAGCTGCGCGGCTGCTGTGAACTCGTAAACTGGCACTACAGGGGCGGCTGAAAAAGGCACCGCATTTAATCTGGCGCCAAATCCGGCTGTCTATGTGCCAGATCTAGTGCGGTAAGTCAGAATGGGCGGGCGTCTGAGACATAGCTAGCCAGCAGTTCATAGCGAGGAAGCATAACCAGGCTGCTTACTAGAAAGGAGGGGACAAGTGGCGAGATGAGATGGATTGGTGGAGCACCAAACCCTAGGTCGCAACCTCCACGACCATTACCAAAGCACCCACCCCTTCGCTAGCAGCTGCGATTCTGGAATTTGCGCTAATCACGAACAGGTGCGAAGATTGCTCACCACCAGAACTACCAACAAAGGTGAGGGAGTGCGCGAAGTTACACGACTTCATACGCAATGTTAGCAGGTGTATTTTGTAGAAATCTGATGCTTTGGAAGCTATGTTGCCACATTACGTATATCTAATGAGCCAGTATAATATGCCACCTGCTTCAATAATGTTCCAACTAATCCCGCGCGGATAATTACAACCTGGCATTAGGTTGTCAGGAAAGTTAGTTCCCGTATATCGCATAGTTCGGCATGGTTCACCTACTCAAATGTCATAATGATACTTGAATCACCACATGTTTTCTGAGAAAAGCCAGGCCACGCATGAAGGCTAAGGCAAAACATACAAACCAGATAAAAACGTATTCACAAGGCCTACGAATGGTGCACACAGGGCACTCGCGCACCATAAAAAGGGGAAACAAATTTACAATGAAATAAATAACACCAGTCCACCCTTTCAACGGGTGCAAGAGGTGTGGGTGGGGTGAAGGTCACTTCGCTTCCGTACTGACTCATGTCAGCATTTCACTGTTTGTGTCGCTGAGCCCTCCGCAAGAGCCTCGCTATCAGCAATCACCAGCGCTGCGTCTTCTATCCGGACGGGCACCGGCACCATTGCGCTTGCGTGGTCTGCCACCTCCTGCCCGCCCTCCTGGTTTGGTGACGCAATGTCGGTCGGCACGACTCGGCAGTATATGGGGATGATGTGCAGAGGCGCTTCCACATCCTCCAGCCAGGTGGGGCCTTCAAACGTGTTGGACGGGTTCAGCAGCTCGCACCACGTGCCTCTGAAGAAGGGGCGACATGGGGAGAGAGAAGAGAGATTGAGCAATTGGGGTAGTGGTGAGTACAATGAGAGTGTTAGGGAAGGGGAAGGAAGAGAGAGTACAAGAAGGGTTAGCATAGCAGGAGCATGGAGAAGTGAACACGTGCTTAACTCACTTGGGGAGGTAGACGTCGCGCTTCTTCTGCCCCTTGACCACCACGGGAGCCACCACGATGTCATCGCCTATCGCAAACTGGTCGTCTATGGGGAACGTCTGGAAGGTGAGGAGGGAGTGGGGGGGATGAGAGAGGATGAGGGGGGAAGCAGATGATGAGAAGGCTGGAGTAGCCGAGGGACCGAGGAAGATTTGAGAAGGAGAATGAGCGGAGGCTTACAAGGCACAAAGCTATACTTTGATCTGCTACATCACAGCAGCGCCTTCCTGTAGCTCAAAGACCAATCCATGCCATGTGCAGGCACGGGTGCAAGTGGGGTGCAGTGCGGTGCAGTAAGGTGAGGCGAGATGCAGTGGCAGGGAACGCACCTCAGCATCGTCGGGGTCGAGCCACCACATGGGGCCGGCACACGGGGGCGAGGGCCTTGGAGCATGCATCCTCCATGAGGCTGAATATGGTGCCCGCTACCTTCTCCCTCAGCTGCTCAAAATGTACGGTAGGGAGGACAGGAGGGGAGAGAGTTAGTCTACAGCCATCACATGCATCATTGACAAGAGAGAAGCTGGTGCGAGCATGCCTCTTCTATCTCCATTCCCATCCCACCACCCCTATGCTCACCTCGAGCATGGCCTTGCAGAGGCGGTCGGCCTCCTTGCTGAGGTCCCAGGGGGCGATGGAGAACTGCATGGCCGGCATGAGCGCGTTCGCCTGCGCCCACCGCACCAGCAGCTCCACGTCTGGCTTGTTGCCAAAGTACGCGTTGCCCCCCACCATGTCGGGTAAACAGAACGGGTACCCCAGTATCCCCGACGTGAGCAGCGTGGGAATCACGCTCCTTAGCCCGTTCCCCGTGCTCCACGTGGAAAACCGATCGCCCATTCTGGTTAACAGCGGCACGCTGCTGGTCTTGTGCCCGGTCCGAACCTCCGCGTAGCTGAACTGCGACGCCACCTCTTGCACGTACAGCCGTGTGTATTCCACCGGGGTGACGATCGGCTTGTGCGTAACGAAATGCGGCGGCAGGAAGCACGGCTCCCCCGCGTCAAACTTAAAGCCGTCGATGAGATAATCTGCTTGCAGGCGCTTGAGGCGCCCCACGAACCAGGCCACGGCCTCGGGGTTGGTCACGTCGAGGGCCGCTGCTGGCACGGGCTGCCACCACTTGAAGAAGCCCGGCTTGAGCCCCTTGGTGGCCGGTGCACTGGATGAGATGAAGTAGCCTCTGTGGGGCGACAGGAGGGGTGGACAACGGCGGAGAGAGGTGTGAGAACAGAAGTTGGGACGACAGCAGAAGAGAATGGTATGGATGAAACTTGGAACTCAAACAGAGGGGCTGCAAGGTGTGAATTGCTCAGGGGCACTTACTTGGGTGCTCCTTCCTGGTAGGCGGCGGAAGCTTCCTCCACGAAGGGCATGATCCAGAGCGTCACCTTAAAGCCCAACGCGTGCAGCATCTCCACCATAGCCTGCTCTCATGGACAGAGCGGCAGACAGAGCAACAAGCAGAGATGAGCAAGGGGATTTGAGTTGGAGTTGAGAGGTTTACAGGCGTGTGCAGCATGATGAGAAGGTGGTGAATGCGAAATGTACCAAGAGCAGGCAAGCAGCACGGTGGTGCTCACCTTGGGGTTGGGGAACTTGACGGGGTCGAAGTCAAAGTCGCCGTACTTGGTCTGCCACTTGTCGTCGATCTCCATGACGGACCGGGACAGCCCGCGCCCCACGATCTCATGCGCGAACTGCTCCACATTGGCCTGCGTCACGTTGGCGTGGTACCGCGCCCACGTCGTCCAGATCGGTGCATCCACCATCTCCCTCGGCGGGGGATTCGCCGGGCGCGGGAGGGTCTCCAGCGCGGCTTCCGCTGCTTGCTTGACGTTTGCAGTGGCGCACAGGGCGAACTGGAGACTCAGGCGCTGGTCTGAAGGGGTGATGGGGGGGTTGTGACGGATGGGGGAGTGAGGGGTGAGGGGATGAGAGGGCAAGGAAACTTATCCAGATCTGCCCAGATTTGCCTAGATGGGCCCATTGCCCAGATTTGTCCAGATTTGTCCAGATTTGCCCAGATTTGTCCAGATTTGCCCAGATTTGTCCAGATTTGCCCAGATTTGTCCAGATTTGCCCAGATTTGTCCAGATTTGCCCAGATCTGCCCAGATTTGCCTGCAGCTAACTATGGAAGGTCAATCTACGAGCCACTCTGACAAAGCTCACCTTTGTCCTGCTCCTCCTTCCACATGGCGGGCATCCAGTCGCGGAGCGGGTGCAGCATCTCCACCGTGCGGTAGCTCGCCCGCGCCTGCAGGCGCAGCATGCCGTCCCCCGTACCGTTCTCCGCCGCTGGCAGCGACTCCCGCGCCAGGTTCTGCACGCCCGTGCCCCAGGAGCGCTGGATCCAGCCGTCGTGGGGGCCCACGTGGGGCGCGTTCAGCCCCACGTGCAGGAAGGGCGTGTCCGGATTGGCCAGCACGAGCAGCCCACGTGAGGTCATCCACTGCGGGGCGAGCAGCGTGTTGGTGCCGTTTGGCCCGTTGTCAAAGGGGAAGAACGGACCCATCTCGAACTGGCCGCGGTTGAGCGGCCAGTGCTGGCGCATGTAGTGCCCCCCGCCGAACCAGTACCCCGCGGTGCGCATGTCCAGCTCCACCTCCGCCATTCCGCGCGCCTCCTCCTCCGCGTGCTGCGCCACGCTGAACTCGCACACGAACCCGCACGCCAGCTTCTGTTGGTGGGGGTGGGCACGCATACGGATGGGTACGCATGGGGTGGGAGCATTAGAACAGGGACGGATACACTGAATCCTAGCACGAATCCGCACGCCAGGGGATGGTTGCCTCAGAGTCTAACCTTGTCTCAGGAGGTGGGATCCTCACCTTGGCCCAGGAGGGGTCGGAGGCTCACCTTGGCCCAGGAGGGGTCGGAGGCGGGGTTGCCGTGGTCGCGGTCGAACGGCAGCGCCGACAGATCGCCCTTCTCCACGCCCGCAGGGTTCGCCGCCACCACGCGCAGCGCAGAGCCGTTGATCCACTTCAGCTGGACGGCCCCGATCGACTCGTCCAGCACGGTGATCTCGCACGACTCGATATAGTCACGGCAGGTGTCAGGAAGGGAGACTCTCCCCGCGGTGATGAGAACAGGCACGCCGTCCTTGACGCGCCGTAGCTCCATCAGCCCGTCCGCGCGCAGCCGCAGATGCTCCGCTCCGTTAAAGATGTCCACTCGCCCCGGATGTACTTTAACGCGTACACGGTCATCGAGGCCGGACAGGCTGCCGGTGCTGCTCACGCGGCTGAACCCTCCCTCGCTGCTGACATCGTCGCCGCTGCTGCTGATGCTGCTGCTGAGACTCACTGCGTCGTACAGCCGCTCCTCTTCCTCATCCTCGTCGTCTTCTGTAAAGTACAGCGCGTCGTCAGCACCGCCAACGACGCCGCCAGAAGCGGGGAAAAGCAGGGAGGGGGAGGAGAGCACGTTGATATCAGCGTCGGGAGTCAGCAGACCGCCTAGGGAATTAGCTAGGCCCCAAAGGCCGCCGTTGGTGTTGCTTCTGCTGCCTTGGGGCTTATCGGTCGGTACTGCCACGGCTTTCAAGGGCTTACCGGTTCCGCACACGTTGCACGGCCCGCGCTTGGCTGACCGCTGTCTGGCCGATCCGTTGACTGATCCGTTGGGACCGTTTGAGCCCTCATGATGACGCCGTCCAGCTGGCAGCAGGCCCGCCACGTGGCAGTCGCATTCGAGGACGGCGACGGATTGCTTGCTGGTAACGGGTTTGTCTTCTAGCGAGGTAGAAGCTGTTGCGTCGGCAAGTATTGTGTATATCGGGTACGGAGGCGGCTTCCGCTGCGTCCTGCCGCCGTAGTATTGCTTCAGAGCCGGTCCGAAGATTAGTCTCTTGGACGGCCGGCAAGTGAGCGAGTTGCGTGAGGCGAGAGACGACGGCTGATTGGACGCGAGCCGAAGCGTGCACCTGGGATGGCATGTCACGGACGCGCACGCTGACGCCATCTGTCCCGGCCCGCGTTTGCTTGCGCAGTTGACGCAGGCCCGTGTGAGGTTGGAAACGCCGGGAGCGCGAATGGCGGCCGATATCGCCATGGCGGATCCGAGAGAGGGAGCTGAACAGGAGATCTGCGCAGAAGTGGCGGAGATAATAGGTGCTGCTAAGAAATCTAAAGATAGTAAAGTGCTAGCAATATTAGATAAGTCCGTGTCCTCGTGAATAGGACGACGGTCTAAAGCTGATTCTCGACTAGGCGCCAGATTGGAACACGGAATGATACGATCGCTGAATGCTTGAAGAGAACTTGATCATAGGTTAACGCAGATAGAACGGGAAACACGGGAACAGAAGCCATGATCATACGAATTTATGAGCCAAACTGATCGATCACAATGGTTGTTGAATGATGTGCAAGTGTAAGTGCCGATTCGAAAAGTATCAGTGAGTTAGTGCTGGTCCTTACGAATTCTGATCTGAGGCCGAGAATCAACGAAGGAGCGGTCCGTGGCGGCTCGCCAGCGCGTCAGTGGAAGCTGCGAATGGTGGGAGAACCATTCACGCCGCCATAGGCACACGCCGAGTCCGTCACAACCACTCCTGGGCAAAGAGTGTTCATCAGCTGTTGGCCATTTGACATCAGCTCGACCTCTTATGTCATCAGCTGACTCAAGGATTGAGTCATGGTGAGTGAGAGAGGGAGGGGAGGGAGGAAGGAAACGGTGCAGTGAAGTGAGACAAGTGACAAGAGAAGTCCAGTGGAGTCCAGGGCAGGGAGCGATGGGACGGGAGGGAGGGGGGGAGTTGGACGGAATGGAATGGAATCCCTGAGGGTTATCTGTCTGACCGCCGATGACATCGGTGCTGACGTAGAGCCGCGTCATGCCTCGATAATGCCACCTCGATAGCTCCGGCACCTCAAGAGCTCCAGCGTGCCTACAGTGGTGGACGTGGCGTAAAGCGTTGTAAGGATGAGGGTGAGCTGGCCAGCTGGCGCGGTCTGGATTTTGGTCGCCTTGGGTCGGGTCGGATTGTTACAGTCATAGAATTGGGGATAGGGGCACATGATCTCGAAAACGCGCCAGGACTGGTTCTCCCGAATGTGTGTGTGTGGTGGTGGAGTGATCGTTTTGCATTTGACCAATCAGGATCTCCGATTGCACCGCACTGAAATTCCCCGGCTCGAATCAAAACGTCGGAAATTGAGAGGGGTGATCGCACCGCGTTTTCAGATACCAATTCCAAGAGGTCATCCACATGTCCATTATCGATACGTGTACATCTCGAAATTGCAAACTGAAGCCGAGGTGAACGACGCAACTCAGCGTCATGGTAGTGATGCTCCACTCCAGCGTGTATCAGTTGCGCTGGCAACTGACACAATTTGACTGGATTGCGGGGAAAAGCAACCTCACCCGCGTAAAATATCTGGCCTTATTACCGTATGATCCAGTGCTGGGTAGTTGTGGTGCGGTGTAGTTTGAACGTATATATTCTTAAAGTGACTCTATTAAATGCAGTGCATGATTCTCATCTGGGAAACTACTACCTTTGGTCCACAATACTAAATGTGTTCAGGCCTCACCTGCTATCCCTAGATGGTCCCTACAAATGAAATGAAGGACCCTCTATTGGTACTTCAAAGGCACTGCATCCAGCAGCAGCTTTCACGTCATTCACACTTTCACCCTGTCAACTGTTTTATGGGACCACATACCGTATGTACGGTATCAGCTTTTTGAATGGAACAGGTGGATTCCTGTCAAGGCACAGTTGGGTGGGTCAAACACAGTACGATATTGCAATCGAACAGCACAGTCCATGCTTGTGCTGTCTAGCCAAACCCTAACCACACAGAACAACATGCATGCAAACCCCCCACGCACATAGCTGCAAAAATGTCACCACACACACAAACACGCAAAAAGAAGGAAAGTATACCCTCTGGCCTAAGTTTGTACTGCCCCCTTACAGGGCAGGTGCTCACTTCAAGCCAAGTCAAGCGACACACAACACACTACATAACAAGCATTAGAAAAGCCAGGGCAGCAAGAATCTGGCTCTGACTCCCCCTATGCATTGTCAACAGGCGATGTGGGGGTGCTGGTGGCGGTGGTGGGGGTGGGCTTGGGGGGCGAGGGTGGTGCAGCAGCTGCTTCAATCGCTGCTGGGGTAGAAGGGGTGGCTGGTGACTCAACAGCTGACTCTGCAGCAGCAGCAGCAGGGGCAGGGGCAGGGGCAGGGGCAGGGGCAGGCACATCAGAAGAGGGTGCGCTGCTCTCTGTTGGCGTTTCTCTCACCGTTGCACTCCCAGCTTCATCACGACTGGCATCACTTGTTTCTGCTCTCTCTGCTGCTGCTGCTGCTGGAGCTTCTGCTGCTGCTTCCAACACTGCTGATGATGGCTCCACTGTTGGTGCCTCTGCTGCTGCAGGTGCATCTGCTGGTGCAGCTGCCTCAGGTGCAACAGCGAGACTGCCGTTGTCAGTCTGAACCGCCACATCAGCAGCTGAGCTGGCAGCAGCAGCAGCAGGCGCACTGGAAGCGTCAGGCGCCTTGCTCTCGCTCCCTCCTTCACCCTCCCCATCTGTGAGCTGCTTGGCGGCCTTGGGTGCTGCAGAGGCAGAAGAGGAGGTGCCGAGGGCCCACCCCGCTGCTGATGCTGCGAGAGAGAAGGGCGTGAGCAGTGCTCTGCAAGGCACGCAGGGAGAGAAGAGGGCCCAGCAAGGGGGGGACAGGGCGAGGAAGAGTGGGTGGAGAGAGCTAAGGATGAGAAGAGAAGGTCTGGCTTAGAACAGCCCGAAAATTAAACTAGAAGGGAGAAGGCGACAATGGTGGCAATGTGGAACGATGGAGGTACCAATAAATGGTGGATGGGGATGGGGATGTTCAAGGTGCTGTTGTTGATGATGGTGTTGATTTGAACACTTTAGGCAGGTTCCTGTGGCAGTTACAGTGCTTGTCGGAAAAAGAAAGAAACAAAAGAAGATGCGTACATTCCAGTTTGCACGCCTGCCTCTGCCTCACATAGCCTTCCTCACTCACATGTCCACTCCACACACACTCATCACATGTCCACTCCACACACTCACCACATGTCCACTCCACACACACTCACCACATGTCCACTCCACACACACTCACCACATGTCCACTCCACACACACTCACCACATGTCCACTCCACACACACTCACCACATGTCCACTCCACACACACTCACCACATATCCACTCCACACACACTCACCACATGTCCACTCCACACACACTCACCACATGTCCACTCCACACACACTCACCACATGTCCACTCCACACACACTCACCACATGTCCACTCCACACACACTCACCACATGTCCACTCCACACACACTCACCACATGTCCACTCCACACACACTCACCACATGTCCACTCCACACACACTCACCACATGTCCACTCCACACACACTCACCACATGTCCACTCCACACACACTCACCACATGTCCACTCCACACACACTCACCACATGTCCACTCCACACACACTCACCACATGTCCACTCCACACACACTCACCACATGTCCACTCCACACACACTCACCACATGTCCACTCCACACACACTCACCACATGTCCACTCCACACACACTCACCACATGTCCACTCCACACACACTCACCACATGTCCACTCCACACACACTCACCACATGTCCACTCCACACACACTCACCACATGTCCACTCCACACACACTCACCACATGTCCACTCCACACACACTCACCACATGTCCACTCCACACACACTCACCACATGTCCACTCCACACACACTCACCACATGTCCACTCCACACACACTCACCACATGTCCACTCCACACACTCACCACATGTCCACTCCACACACACTCACCACATGTCCACTCCACACACACTCACCACATGTCCCCTCCACACACACTCACCACATGTCCACTCCACACACACTCACCACATGTCCACCCCACACACACTCACCACATGTCCACTCCACACACACTCACCACATGTCCACTCCACACACACTCACCACATGTCCACTCCACACACACTCACCACATGTCCACCCCACACACACTCACCACATGTCCACTCCACACACACTCACCACATGTCCACTCCACACACACTCACCACATGTCCACTCCACACACACTCACCACATGTCCACTCCACACACACTCACCACATATCCACTCCACACACACTCACCACATGTCCACTCCACACACACTCACCACATGTCCACTCCACACACACTCACCACATGTCCACTCCACACACACTCACCACATGTCCACTCCACACACACTCACCACATGTCCACTCCACACACACTCACCACATGTCCACTCCACACACACTCACCACATGTCCACTCCACACACACTCACCACATGTCCACTCCACACACACTCACCACATGTCCACTCCACACACACTCACCACATGTCCACTCCACACACACTCACCACATGTCCACTCCACACACACTCACCACATGTCCACTCCACACACACTCACCACATGTCCACTCCACACACACTCACCACATGTCCACTCCACACACACTCACCACATGTCCACTCCACACACACTCACCACATGTCCACTCCACACACACTCACCACATGTCCACTCCACACACACTCACCACATGTCCACTCCACACACACTCACCACATGTCCACTCCACACACACTCACCACATGTCCACTCCACACACACTCACCACATGTCCACTCCACACACACTCACCACATGTCCACTCCACACACACTCACCACATGTCCACTCCACACACACTCACCACATGTCCACTCCACACACTCACCACATGTCCACTCCACACACACTCACCACATGTCCACTCCACACACACTCACCACATGTCCCCTCCACACACACTCACCACATGTCCACTCCACACACACTCACCACATGTCCACCCCACACACACTCACTACATGTCCACTCCACACACACTCACCACATGTCCACTCCACACACACTCACCACATGTCCACTCCACACACACTCATCACATGTCCACTCCACACACACTCACCACATGTCCACTCCACACACACTCATCACATGTCCACTCCACACACACTCACCACATGTCCACTCCACACACACTCACCACATGTCCACCCCACACACACTCACCACATGTCCACTCCACACACACTCACCACATGTCCACTCCACACACACTCATCACATGTCCCCTCGACACACACTCACCACATGTCCCCCCCACACACACTCATATGTACCCTCCACACACACTCACGTTATGTCCCCTCCACACACACTCACCACATGTCCACTCCACACACACTCACCACATGTCCACTCCACACACACTCACCACATGTCCACTCCACACACACTCACCACATGTCCACCCCACACACACTCACCACATGTCCACTCCACACACACTCACCACATGTCCACTCCACACACACTCACCACATGTCCCCTCCACACACACCCACCACATGTCCCCCCCACACACACTCATATGTACCCTCCACACACACTCACGTTATGTCCCCTCCACACACACTCACCACATGTCCCCTCCACACACACTCACCACATGTCCCCTCCACACACACTCACCACATGTCCCCTCCACACACACCCACCACATGTCCCCCCCACACACACTCATATGTACCCTCCACACACACTCACGTTATGTCCCCTCCACACACACTCACCACATGTCCCCTCCACACACACTCACCACATGTCCCCTCCACACACACTCACCACATGTCCACCCCACACACACTCGCCACATGTCCACTCCACACACACTCCCCTTATGTCCCCTCCACACACACTCGCCACATGTCCCCTCCACTCACACTTACCACATGTCCCCTCCACTCCCTTCACTCACCGCACGTCCCGCTGAAGGTCCTCCTTGGTCTCGTATGTCTTGACTCGCAGGTAAATCAGCTGCACCACTGCCAGCACCCCCAGCAGCTGCAGCAATGCCAACACACACAACACACACCATACCCTAACACGCATGCACAGCACATTCCCTCCCATCACTCACAGCACGTCCCCTCTACACACACCGTATTCACTTTACTCACCGCATTCCCTTCACTCACCGCACGTCCCGCTGAAGGTCCTCCTCAGTCTCATATGTCTTGACGCGCAGGTAGATCAGCTGCACCACTGCCAGCACCCCCAGCAGCTGCAGCGACCGCTCCCACTCTGGTAGTGGTGCAGTGCGGTGCGGAGGTGGGGACATGGGTGCAAGGGGAGTTGGAGTGGTAGAGAGTGGTGGGGATGGGTTGGAGAGATATAATTTTGAGAAAATGGTATGACGGTATTGTCCCATAGTAGATGAATGTGTGGGCTTCAAGAATATACCAGTGTGGGGGAGGGGAATAAAAAAAGATTCTGCGTTAAATAGTTCTTGCAGAGATGGTTGCAGTATGCGGCACGAGTGCATCACGTCACAGTCGTAACAGTCACAAGAGTATGAGCGTGTGAGAGCATGAGGGCATGAGGGAATGAAGGCATGGGGGCATTGAGAGCATGAGGGCATGAGAGCATGAGGGCATGCGAGCATGAGGACATGCGAGCATGAGGGCATGAGAGCATGCGAGCATGAGGACATGAGTGCACGAGAGCATGAGGGCATGAGAGTATGAGAGCAGAATGCGCCATAACAAGAAGTCGTACCAATGAGGGCGAAGATGCCGACTCCGGTGCCCTGCAGAGAGAGGTGGCGTGGGGATGGAGGGAGGGCAACAAGGAGAAGGGCAAACAATGGTGCATTGGTCACAGTGGATGGTGCATGGTGCACGGTGCACGGTGCATGGGGCATGATGCATGGTGCATGGTGCACGGTGCATGGTGCATGGCGCATTTTGCACGGCGCATGGTGCATGGTGCATGGTGCATGGGGCATGGTGCATGGCGCATGGTGCATGGCGCATGGTGCATGGTGCATGGTGCATGGCGCATGGTGCATGGTGCATGGCGCATGGTGCATGGCGCATGGTGCACGGTGCATGGCGCATGGTGCATGGTGCATGGTGCATGGTGCATGGTGCATGGCGCATGGTGCATGGCGCATGGTGCATGGTGCATGGTGCATGGTGCATGGTGCACGGTGCACGGTGCACGGTGCATGGCGCATGGTGCATGGCGCATGGCGCATGGTGCATGGTGCATGGTGCATGGTGCATGGTGCATGGCGCATGGTGCATGGCGCATGGTGCATGGCGCATGGTGCATGGTGCATGGTGCATGGTGCATGGTGCATGGCGCATGGTGCATGATGCATGGTGCATGGTGCGTGGTGCATGGCTCATGGTGCACGGTGCATGGTGCACGGTGCACGGTGCACGGTGCATGGTGCATGGCGCATGGTGCATGGCGCATGGTGCATGGCGCATGGTGCATGGTGCATGGCGCATGGTGCATGGTGCACGGTACATGGTGCACGGTACATGGCGCAAGGGGCATGGCGCATGGTGCATGGTGCATGGGGCATGGTGCATGGTGCATGGTGCATGGTGCATGGTGCATGGCGCATGGTGCATGGTGCATGGCGCATGGTGCATGGTGCACGGCGCATGGTGCACGGTGCATGGTGTATGGTGTATGGTGCATGGCGCATGGTGCATGGTGCATGGTGCACGGTGCATGGTGCACGGTGCATGGCGCATGGTGCACGGTGCATGGTGCATGGTGCATGGTGCATGGTGCACGGTGCACGGTGCACGGTGCATGGCGCATGGTGCATGGCGCATGGTGCATGGTGCATGGTGCATGGTGCATGGCGCATGGTGCATGGTGCACGGTGCACGGTGCATGGTGCATGGTGCACGGTGCACGGTGCATGGTGCATGGTGCATGGTGCATGGCGCATGGTGCACGGTGCATGGTGCATGGCGCATGGTGCATGGCGCATGGAGCATGGTGCATGCTGCATGGTGCATGCTGCATGGTGCATGGTGCATAGCGCATGGTGCATGGTGCATGGTGCATGGTGCATGGCACATGGTGCATGGCGCATGGTGCATGGTGCACGGTGCATGGTGCATGGCGCATGGTGCATGGTGCATGGTGCACGGTGCATGGTGCACGGTGCATGGTGCATGGCGCATGGTTCATGGTGCATGGTGCATGGCGCATGGTGCATGGTGCATGGTGCATGGTGCACGGTGCACGGTGCATGGTGCACGGTGCACGGTGCATGGCGCATGGTGCGCGGTGCATGGTGCATGGTGCATGGTGCATGGCGCATGGTGCATGGTGCATGGTGCATGGCGCATGGTGCATGGCGCATGGTGCATGGTGCATGGTGCATGGTGCATGCTGCATGGTGCATGCTGCATGGTGCATGGTGCATGGTGCACGGTGCATGGTGCATGGTGCATGGTGCACGGTGCATGGCGCATGATGCATGGTGCCAACACGTATTTCTCAGCATGCGCATGGCAACAGCATGTAATTCAAAGGAGACACCAGGAGAGGGAGAATGGCTTAGCAGCAAAACGAGGGATGACTCGGCAGCAGAAGAAAGGGGGGGAGACTCATGAGCAGCACAAGAATGGAGGAAGGGGAGAGGAGAGTCGTGAGCAGCACAGGAATGGAGGAAGGGGAGAGGAGAGTCGTGAGCAGCACAAGAATGGAGGAAGGGGAGAGGAGACCCACGAGCAGTACAGGAAGGGGAAAGGGGAAAGGGGAAACGAAAGGGACCACTCACGAGCACCACAGTGGCCACTCCAAGGGGCGTGGGCTGCACGTCCTCCACAAACGCCTCGTACTCCTGCCATGGTGCGACGTGGCAGAGCAACACATAAGTGACACATGTCAGGGTGACACAATTCAGATGTTACAAAATATGTGAGAAACCGGCTGTGAGGCAGCTCAAACACGGGGGGAGGAAACAGTATGTGGCAGCATGGTTGGTTGTAAGACAATTGACTCCACCAACCAGCACAACCCACCCCTCTATTTCTGAACAGACTAATCTGTCAGACTTCGGCCCATCTCATCCCATCCCATCGATCCATGTCTTACGCGATGCCACCTCCCACCCCAGCTATGCAACGTGGGGTTCCCAAGTCCGTTTCCCTCGCGTTGACAGCTTAGATGCGTGAGTGCACACGGCATGAATGTAGATACACACACTGCACTGTTTGCACATCATGCGCACTATTGTGCAACGTCTCATGCATTCAGCTCCCAGTTGCTCGCAAAAGGGGGGGAGGGAGGGAGGGAGGGAGGGAGGGAGGGAGGGAGGGAGGGAGGGAGGGAGGGAGGGAGGGAGGGAGGGAGGGAGGGAGGGAGGGAGGGAGGGAGGGGAGCTCACCTTCTTGAGCACGTCTGCTGCTCGCTCGGGCTCGTTGGGCTTCACTCGCAGCCCGCTCGCCACCCACGAGTCAAAGCCCCCGTCCATCACGAATGAGCGCTGGCATTGAATGGCACATCATGACACATACATAGAGGCACAGAGGCACACAGGGAGGGGCATTTGAGTCGCGCCTTGAACGTCACTGGCCTGGCCACCCACGAGTCAAATCCCCCATCCATCACAAACGAGCGCTGGCATCGAAATCACATGCACACGCATGCACCAGACACACAGAGGCACACAGGCGCGTGAAACACGAGATTGCGAATGGAGAGGCCCTTGAGGCACGTCAAAGGCCTCACAGGCACCGGGCCAAGGGCAAGAGCGAGAGCATGTGCGCATCATGCGGTGTGCACCATGAGAAGAAATGCGTGACGGGAGCCCCAGAGGAATCATAAGGTTCATCCCATCATGTGTCATTTGCAATCCAAGGCACTGCGCATTGCGCCAAGCAAGCACGGCACCTGGGCAGCGTTCAAAGAGGCATTGCTCCAATGCAGGGGGTTACGTGATCCATGCCCTGCCCAATCCGTACCTTAAAGCCCACTCTGGAGAGACCCCTGGCAATCTCCTTTGCCAGGTTGCCACCGCTCTCGTCCATTATTATCACCTGCGTGTCCTTCTGCTTACAGTCACACCCGATACAAACACATGGAAGCAGAAGAAAGGATGAAGGGAATCGTACAGTCAAATGTCACAAACGCGTTGTCTGTTCAACTTTGAAAGTGAAGGTCTTGGGCAGTGGTTTATCACTTGCCCAACCATTTCGCTATCATGGAGAGGTTGCATAATCTTTTCAAGAACTCTGCTTGGGCATTTTCGATAGCTGACCAGATTTTAGCCATCATGACAAGTTGCATGTGTATCGCCCAGTTGAAATGTGTCCGCAAAAGGAGCTTATCTGCACGCCCTTAACGCCTTTAAAGGGACGTGCTTATAAGAGGATCCCACCTGGACACCCTTGACGCACTTAATGAGACGTGCTTATGAAGGGAGCTCACCTAGACGCCCTAACGCCATTGATCTGCTGATAAAGAAAGCACACTCGCATGCCCCGCACGGCCTTGATCAATTCAAGTGTGCTTAAGAAGGGAGCTCACCTGCACGCCTCTGACGCCCTTGATCTTAGCAGCCATGAGCTGCAGGTCCACCACGTCTGGACGGCGCACCTGCCCCCTCAGAGGCCCGCCCAGCTGCGAGGAGGAGGAAACGCGGAGGAGAACACAAGGGAGGAGGGCGTAGGGCATGAGAGGCCAGGCCATGGGATTGGGATTAGGATTGGGCGTCAACTCAGCCGCCTCTGGGCTCAGGGGCCTCCCAGCAGCACGGGGAGGAGCAGAAGGGATGAGGGCGTGCGGGCATGTCAAGCCATGGGACTGGGCGACAAATCAAGAGGTGATCAACCAAGTTGGGGCTTCCACCTGGCACCCCAGTGGGCCGCCCAGCAGCACGGGGAGGAGCAGAAGGGATGAGGGCATGCGAGCATGACAAGGAAAGGGATGAGGGCGTGAAACCATGGCAGTCTGCAACCAGCCTGGGCATGAGGGAGAGAGGCCATGCGTTACCTCGTGGTTGGGTTCCTTCTGGGAACATTTTAGTGAGTGTTTGGGCGTGCCTGTGTGTGTGTGCCTGTGTGTGTGTGTGTTTCTGTGTGTGTGTGTGCGTGCGTGTGTGTGTGTGTGTGTGTGTGCGTGTGCGTGTGTGTGTGTGTGTGTGTGTGTGTGTGCGTGTGTGTGTGTGTGGTCGCTTGTGTGTGCGGCATGCATTATTTCGCATCACATGGGTGGCACGCCCTGCGAACTCTCATGTCCCAAATGCATCACTGCATTCAGCACACTCTTGCACCAACGAAACTGCACCCACCGTACCCCTCCCTCAGCATCTCAGCAGGATAAGTTGCGCACCGTTCAGCCCCCAGTGTCTAGCAGGGCCGGAAGCCCACCACTCAGACCCTATAGCATCTAACAGAGCCACACCTAGCAGGGCAAGCGGCACACCTTTTCGAACTTGACGCTGCAGTCCTTGAAGCGTGCGCCCCTGCGCAGGTCAGGGATGCCGTTCTCGTCCCTCAGGAACTGAGGCACGGGAGAGAGGGGGGGAAGGGGGGGTTGGTGGGAGATGGGGGACGTGGGGCGCGAGGGAGTGGGGATTTATGAGTCGACTCAAAAACACTTGAAGCGCACCTCAGGGATGCCGTTCTCGTCCCTCAGGAACTGCAGCACAGAGGGGGGGGGGAGAGGGGGAGTTGGGGGAGATGGGGGAGGTGAGGTGCGAGGGAGAGGGGATTTATAAGTCGACTCTAAAACTCTTGAAGCGCGCCCCCCTGCGCAGGCCAGGAATGCCATTCTCGTCCCTCAGAAACTGCGGGCGTTTGGGAATAAGGGGGGGAGGTGAGGCGTGGGCGACAGACGGGAGGTGAGAGCGAGCAGGGTCTAGGAGGGGAACGTCAAGACACGAGGGCACGGGGCATGCGGCATGGGGAGCATATGGCATGTGACATGGAGCATGGGGTGTGGGGCATGAGGTATGTATGGGGTATGGGGCATGGGACATGTATGGGGCGTGGGGCATGGGGTATGGGGTATGGGACACGGGACACCTTGGGGCGGGGCGGATGTCAACGAGCACTGCTCTCCTTGCCCTCTAACCTCAGGGGCATGGAGCATGGGGTATGCATGGGGCATGGGGTATGCATGGGGCATGGGGTATGCATGGGGCAGGGGGCACGGGGCATCCATCTGACCTCAGGGCGGATGTCCACGAGCACGGCCTTGCTCTCCTTGAGCACCTCCAGTGCCTCCTCTGCTGACAGGTTGCCCGAATACCCTCCATACGCCGCCCTCCAATACGCCACTCTGCCATGCGGGGATGGGGATGGGGAGGGAGAGGGGTGAGGGAAGAGATAGGAGACAGAGGGCAGCTTGCAATGAGTGCCTCGTCCTCTCACAGGGACGAAGGTGCAAGAGGAGAGGGGGCGAGTGGGATGAGCTGGGAATAGGAGCGAAATAAGGGACTGGGAGCAGCGACGAGGAGCGCCCAAGGCAAGGCGAACCTTTGATGAACCATCAATCAAGCGGCATCAAGGGAAACGACAGGTAGAACAGCACCGCTCAGCACCGCATGCTTACCCGAGCAGCAGCGTGCCGGTGGCGATGAGAGTGGCGGCCACGACAGTGTCGTCCGCATCAAAACCCGCCGCCCCAAACGCTGCCCTCACCGCCGCTGCTGATAGCACCGCCACCTGAGGACGGGGCGAGATAGTGAGCGAGGGGAGGGGGTGGCAGAGGAAGGAGGGGAGGGGGAGGAGCGAGCGAGCCTAAACACCTACCTCACCTGTACACCTCGGCTCTCACTCGCACGCATGGCGCTCTAGACTAGACCTGGCTCTCTTCTCACCTGCACGGCCATTTCACCAGCCCTCATATCCCGTAGCGGCGTCCCGCAGGGATGCGAAATTGGCCTCCACCTTCTCCACCAGCGGCAACGGCAGGGCGCCACTCGACTCTCCACCCACACCTGCCACTACTCTCACCTGCCACTACTCTCACCTGCCACTACTCTCACCTGCCACTACTCTCACCTGCCACTACTCTCACCTGCCACTACTCTCACCTGCCACTACTCTCACCTGCCACTACTCTCACCTGCCACTACTCTCACCTGCCACTACTCTCACCTGCCACTACTCTCACCTGCCACTACTCTCACCTGCCACTACTCTCACCTGCCACTACTCTCACCTGCCACTACTCTCACCTGCCACTACTCTCACCTGCCACTACTCTCACCTGCCACTACTCTCACCTGCCACTACTCTCACCTGCCACTACTCTCACCTGCCACTACTCTCACCTGCCACTACTCTCACCTGCCACTACTCTCACCTGCCACTACTCTCACCTGCCACTACTCTCACCTGCCACTACTCTCACCTGCCACTACTCTCACCTGCCCGCCTTCCCTCTCACCTGCCCGCCTTCCCTCTCACCTGCCCGCCTTCCCTCTCACCTGCCCGCCTTCCCTCTCACCTGCCCGCTTTCCCTCTCACCTGCCCGCCTTCCCTCTCACCTGCCCGCCTTCCCTCTCACCTGCACGGCCACCTCCTTGGTGAGTCCGCTAGCGGCGTCCCACAGCGACGCCAGGTTCGCCTCCACCTTCTCCACAGTGGCGATGGCAGGGCGCCGCTCGACCCGCTGATATACACCCGCCACTACCCACACCTGCGCGCCTCCACCCTCACTCCCTGAACCACAACCCCACTACTCTCACATGCACCGCAATTGAGTCGACTCAAAAGCACTACTCTCACATGCACCGCAATTGAGTCGACTCAAAAGCACTACTCTCACATGCACCGCAATTGAGTCGACTCAAAAGCACTACTCTCACATGCACCGCAATTGAGTCGACTCAAAAGCACTACTCTCACATGCACCGCAATTGAGTCGACTCAAAAGCACTACTCTCACATGCACCGCAATTGAGTCGACTCAAAAGCACTACTCTCACATGCACCGCAATTGAGTCGACTCAAAAGCACTACTCTCACATGCACCGCAATTTAGTCGACTCAAAAGCACTACTCTCACATGCACCGCAATTGAGTCGACTCAAAAGCACTACTCTCACATGCACCGCAATTGAGTCGACTCAAAAGCACTACTCTCACATGCACCGCAATTGAGTCGACTCAAAAGCACTACTCTCACATGCACCGCAATTGAGTCGACTCAAAAGCACTACTCTCACATGCACCGCAATTGAGTCGACTCAAAAGCACTACTCTCACATGCACCGCAATTGAGTCGACTCAAAAGCACTACTCTCACATGCACCGCAATTGAGTCGACTCAAAAGCACTACTCTTACATGCACCGCAATTTCTTTAGTCAGTCCGCTGGCGGCGTCCCACAGCGATGCTACATTCGCCTCCACCTTCTCCATCATCGGCAGCGGTGGCAGGGCGCCACACCGCCACCCTTGCCACTCACGCTCGTGAACCCCTGATCCACACCCGGCACTACACTCATCTGCCATGCTAAAACCTCACCTACCTGCACTGCCACCTCTTTAGTCAGCCCGCTAGCGGCGTCCCACAGCGAAGCGAGGTTCGCCTCCACCTTCTCCACCAGCGGCAGCGCGTCCGCCGGCACGGTCTCGCGCAGCGCCGAGTACGCCGCCAGGTACTCGCGCTGCGCCACCGCCGCCGCCGCCGCCGCCGAGTCCGCAACCGACGCGGTCGCCGCCGCCACCGCGTTCTCCACAGGCTCGGAAATTGCCCGAGGCACGGTTAGCTTCGGGACGGGGAGGTTCGAGGGCGAGGGGAGGCTCGGGATGGGGAAGGATGGAAGCGGGATCTCGGGCAGGTTGAATTCTGGGGTGGGGAGGTCGGGCAGCTTGAAGTCAGTTTTAGGGAGAGGGAGCTCGGACGAGTCGGGCAGGTTGAATTCTGGCTTGGCGAATTCGGGCAGGGAGAAGGAAGGCGCCTTCAGGTCTGAAAGGTTTTCGGGTAGGGAAAACTCGGGCTTCTTGAAATCGGGCAGCGCAAAATCGGGCTTCTTAAATTCGGGCAGCGAAAATTCGGGCTTCTTGAACTCGGGCAGGCTAAATTCTCGGTTCTGGAAGTCTGGTATGCTAAACTCGGGCTTCTTAAATTCAGGCAAGCTGAACTCGAAATCAGGCTTCTTAAACTCGGGCATGGTAAATTCGGGCTTCTTGAATTCGGGCATGCTGAATCCTGGTTTCTCAAAAGAAGGGGCGACATCCCTGGTGGGATACGAGAACTTGGGCAGGTCTGGAAGAGCCGTGGTGGTGGGCAGGTCAAGCACCTCGTCCGGCACTGCGATACTATTGGCAGCGGCAGACACAGCATCTGCTGCATCCGCGGCAACATCAGCAGCAGCATCGGCAGCAGCGTCAGTGGTGGCGGAAGAGGGAGCATCCAGGCCCAGGTCTAGGTCGTTGGAGCTGAATCCGATGTCCAGCCCCTCGCCCTCTGCGACTGCCGCCGTCGCATCTGCGACGGTAGCGACGGTATCGGGTGTGGGCGAGTCCGAGGCAAGGGCTGCCGCTGCGGGGATGAGCGCTGGGGTGATGTGGGGGATGCGGAGGGGAGGGGAAGGAGAGGTATGGGGAGGGGGATGGGGGGAAATGGAACAGAAGCCAGGGAGGAAAGGTTGGGGATGCGAGAAAAGGGACGACGGGAGGTGAGTACGGGAGGAGGTTGGGATCGAGGAAGGGTTCATCGGGAGGCAAGAACGGAGGAGTTGAACTGATGAGTGGGAAGAGATGGTTTCAGTGTATGTGAGGATAACGCTCAGTGGAAAAATGCTGAACGAGTGAATGCTAATTCGACAACATCCACTCCAGACTGACGAATGAATGCATCTATAGGGCCCTACTACTTCCTTTGCGCGAATTGACGCCGAATCCATCAACAGTGCCGCCGTTGTTTAACGCATTCACCCACTACTTGCACCAGGAACTTCCAAGCCCCTCGCAGTAGCTACCAAAGGTGACCACTCGAATGTAACCACAGCAAATCAAGGCGTACAGGTTTCATTGTGAAACCTGTAGTCTTACAGTATTCTCTGAAAGCGCGTTCGAAGTTTCATTGAGTTTGTTTTGAGTTCAACTAGCAACTCTTCTTACAGGTGCTGGATGCGGCTGCTGCGGAGGAAGCGGCAAATCTTCCGGACCTGCTTCTACCGTCGGCTCGAGCGCGAATGTTGCACACCGCAAGCCTCTTACGGCACGACGGAGTCGGACCGGCAGAGCTCTTCGCAGCGATCTGAAGTAGAAATCGTGGGAATAATTATGGAGCGAGGTAATGTAAATGAGTTTGCCAGAAGTTTATCGCGACAGTAAAGAGTGGAACTGAAGAGAAGTTAATTTATGATCAGTGCTCACCCGTGGCTCCGGGCGGAGGCTTCCCCGTAAAAGGCTCGACAGGCCAGATGATTGCACTGTCGCCATGGCGTGACGAGCCTAATGACCTTGTGAGTGCTCGAATTTACTCCCTCCGTCCGTCAAACCGCTGATGCTGCCTGGTGTAAGAGACACAACAGAGCTAGTTTGCGAACTCCGTACAATGCCCCTCACAGCACAAAATGAAGTGGTGATGGAAATTGGATTTGAGGACGTGTTCAGAAAAAACGGATGTGTCTCAAATTTGCCTTTGTGAGGGTGGCGTATTCAAAGAGTTCGTTGATTGCGGTTAGGCAGGGTTGAGAAATCATCGCATCTGTCGAAGGAATTATAAGTTACGGGATGCTAGAGCCTGGAGAGATGAATTGCGAATACGACCTGAAGCTGATGTGGCGCCAACGCTAATGCTCTGCCGTGCGAACAAAGCGAGGTAAGGACGGAGAGATCGAGGCATCGATTTGAAGGGTAGGAGATGCGTCAATGTTGCTGTCACAGTTGACGTGGCGACCATCCGCAAACTCCCGAATCAGAAGGATCCATTGACTCACCTGTGCCATTCTAGAGCCCCAGCATCCTTTGAGAAGTCTGTGGCCACAGATAGTCTCCCAAATTCAGGACGGGATCTCCGTCGTGTCCCAAATGCTTCAGTAAAGTATCACCTGCTACGAATGTGTGCGTCAGACTGACCAGCCCAACTCATAGCTTCGTATATGTAAGGAAAATTCCTTTTCCTTACTTCGCATCCCTGCTCAACGCGTACGACACTGTAGCACCACAGTCAGCACCGTTACCACTCGCGACCCTCGCATCGACAATCCGCCCGCCACCTTCGCACGTCGCACCCCGACCTCACGGCTCGGCGGGTGACCCGCGCTCCGGGCCTCCGCTTTGACACTTTTTCCCAACCTCAGTCCCAGGCCCGTCGCGCGACAACCACAGTCCATTACCGTTACAACTGTAGTTTCGCTATATATTCTTCGCTCATGCCTTCGCTCATTGTACTCTTGCTTCGATAGTGCAATTCTCGTTCGTTCACTCCATTGCACTCGTAACACTTGGTATCAGAGCCTACGATCTCTTCTCGGACCGCACCCACACCTTCGCTTCCCCACTATCTCAATTTTTGGGGGGGGTAGACGTCTCTCAGCGACACAGCACCGCCGCTCGTAGTGCTCTCTCGTACGCACGCACGGCCACGACCGAGGCTCTCGCTGAGCTCGCCCGACACCCCCGCCATGGCCGAATTCACACTCGCCACATTGACGCAGGAGCAGCTCGACCGTCTGGTGCGCCAACTTGAAGATTCGGCGCTCGAAATTGCGACGCTCACGGCGGAACGTGACTCCGCACGTCAGCAATCAACGATGAACACTCCAGCGCCACCACACGCACCGACAAATGCATCTGCACAATCGGACGAGCCGATCGTCATCTCGTCCGGCACACCAACACAAAACAACAGCGTGGGTGTCAAATAATATATATTTGTATTAACTGCCTGTAGCATAATCTAGTGTAGTTATCTTGCCTGTTAGGTGGTGCACCTCTTGTTCTTGTTCACTTGCCTATATGTTCCTTGTTTGCTATAGTGAAATCATTCCATTCTCTCGACTCCCTCCTTGGCACAATCTACTCGATACCCCCTTGGCCTAGGCTACTAAGCCTAGGCCCTACTCCTAACTATGGCTCCTAAACCTAAGCCTAGTTTCCTAGGTGCTTAGTGTTTCAACAGTGGGACAGCGCTCAGGCACAGCCAGCGATGGTGCCGCCCAGCCGATGCCTGGCATGGGAGGAAACAGGGTCACACCAAGCCCACGGGAGCCTCGCGAAGCCCGTCGGCATGTGGAGTTCGCGGCGACAAGTGGCGAACAGGCCATTATGGCACCAATGCCACTCAAGCCGCAACGCCCGCCCTGCTTCGACCCGAGCCAGCGTGGAGGTCCGACGGTTCAATCGTGGGTCTTCACGATGAACGTCTTCTTCGACGCGAATTACGTCGAGTCGGACGCAGCGAAGATTCGGTATGCCGTTTCGATGCTAAGGGGCCCCGCCATGGACTGGTGGCGAGTCATCGTGACGTCGCCACGCGCCTACGAGCCACCGTCACAAGAGGAAGGGCCCACGGGCCCAGCTGTCACCTGGAGTTCATTCTGCGAGACCGCCCAATACAGCACGTGGGATGCGTGGTGCGCAGGGCTTCGGGCGCGCTTCGAGCCGATCGCGGCTTCTATTTCGGCGCGTCAGAGATTGCGCACTTGGCGGCAGCTCGGATCGGTTCAAGACTATACGAGTGGTTTTCTCGCATTATGCGAGCAAGTCGGCTACATGCACGAAGCGGAGCGGGTGGACCGTTACGTCGGAGGGCTGAAGCCGGACATCTCGCACGAAATCATGCTACGCGGGCTCTCGAACTTCAACGAGATTCTCGCGCTCGCCGAGAAAATCGACATTTTACGCCGTCCGAGACCGGGGTCCTACTATGGACATCGTCCTCGGGGACCGATCGAGCACGCCACTGTACACGCTGTTGCGACGAATGCAGCTGCCGCACCGTTTAAGGGGCGCTAGTTTGCTTGCAACAGGCCGGGCCATCGCAAGAGCGAATGCCCAGAGGAGCTAAGGCGCCGCGGAGCAGAGCAGGGGAGGGAGTCTCCAAAGCAGGGAAACGCCAGCAGTCAGTAGGAATCGGGCCAACTACTGACGAGACTGCCTGCTCGCCCAACCCCACCGACCCTCACCGAGTCACAGTACCGATTCATGCTATCGATCGGACTCGGACGAATAAGGAGGGTACAGCGACGGATTGCCCAGTACTGATCCACGGGAAAATACAGGGAGCAGCAGTGAAGATTTTTATCGACGGAGGAGCAAGCCACAGTTTAGTTAATACCGCAACCGCACGAAAACTGCAGCTGACACTTAGCCGTTGCTTACCGGAGATAGACGCACGCTTAGTCGACGGCACGCCACTGGCCATACGGGAAAAGGTAGAGAGAGTCAAAGTCCGCTGCGGGGGAAATTTCGGATTTACACAGGAAATGCTCGCAACGACACTGGATGGGCACGATATTTTACTGGGACGTGATTGGCTGCGACGGTATAACCCGCGAATTGACTGGACGACGGGTAGCTGCACCGTGCGAAGTAGTGGTAACTGGGTCGAACTACCTCGCTGGCAGTCGCCCGAGTCTTCAACGGTACACGTCAACGCCATCACAATGAAACGGGCTGTCGCTGCTGGAGCTGACGTGTACGCAGTAGACATCGCAGTAGTAGAGGAAGCAGAGCAGCCTAGTGATTTCAAGAAACTGCTGGCAGCCGTACCGCCCGAATTACAGGAACTGTTGAAACGATACCCCGGGATTTTCCCCGACGACTTACCGGAAGGACTGCCACCTCAGCGAACACATGACCACCGAATCAAATTAGAACTGGGGGCACAGCCAACCGTACAGCGCCAGTTCAGACTGACACAGCCCGAGCTCGACGAACTAAGGAAGCAGTTAGATTACCTGTTAGAGAAAAAATTCATCCGACCGAGCTCGTCACCGTTCGCCGCACCGATACTGTTCACGCCGAAAAAAGACGGGGGTTTTCGCATGTGTATCGACTACAGAGCACTGAACAGGGTAACAGTCAAGTCGCGGTACCCCATTCCCCGAGCCGACGAACTGATCGACCAACTACGAACAGCACGGGTTTTTTTCGAAAATAGATTTACGGGGAGGTTATCATCAGATTAGGGTCGAACCATCAGACTGCGCCAAAACAGCTTTCAGGACTAGGTACGGGTCGTTCGAGTACACTGTGATGCCATTCGGGCTGACCAATGCACCGGCGACTTTTCAGATGACCATGAACGAGGCATTTAGGCCGCTCTTAGATAAATGTGTAATAGTTTACCTCGACGACATCCTAGTGTACAGTCGAGATAAGCAGCAGCACTTAGCAGATCTAGAAGCGGTGTTTAAGGTTTTAGACGAGCACAGATTACTGACCAAGGGTTCCAAGTGCGAGTTCTTACAGGATAGGTTATATTTTTTGGGGCACGTTATTTCGGAGGCTGGAGTTGAAATCGGCCCACAGAAGCTGGATACGGTAAAAGCGTGGCATCCCCCGACGAACATCACGGAGCTGCAGAGCTTTTTAGGATTCGTTAATTATGTGCGTCGGTTCGTCCCCGATATGGCACGGTTAACTGCCCCACTGACGGACTTACTGCGGAAGGGGGTCGCTTTTACGTGGGGGGGAGAAAGAGCATGCTGCCTTCTCTGCCCTGAAAAATGTTCTCTGTTCACCGCCCGTCCTGCGCATCGCCGACCCACACCGCCCATTCGAAGTAGTTACCGACGCAAGCGATATCGCCATCGGAGCCGTACTGCTACAGGATTTCGGCAATGGCCTACAGCCTATCGCATACGAGTCACGAAAACTGCATCCGCCCGAGAAAAATTACCCGATACATGACCGCGAAATGCTTGCGATCGTGCACGCATTCAAAGTATGGCGCTGTTACTTGACTGGCGCGGACGTGACAGTACGGACAGACCATAAATCACTACAGTACCTTTGCGCACAGCCACACCTCAACCCACGACATATTCGCTGGCTCGATTTCCTCGAGTCCAACTTTCACTACACGGTCACTTACAAAAATGGAGCCTCGAACATCGCCGACGCACTGACCCGCCCCACTGCCCAGATCCACGCAATACTACTCGCCCAGACAAGCCCGCTACTGACAGGCCTATTCACCCACGGGTACCAAACGGATCCATTCTTCACTGGAGGAAATTCGCAGCAGTTCGCAGCAGCAAGGGGAGTCTATTACGTAAAAACCGGGACCGACCGCATTTGGGTGCCTGGGTATACACTGCTACGGGAATTACTGTTACAGGAGGCACACGACGGAGTTACCTCGGGGCATTTCGGAGTAGAAAAAACACGGCAGCAGCTGCAGCGGTATTATTACTGGCTTGAAATGTTGACCGACGTACAACGACACGTGGCATCATGTCCCACTTGTCAGCTCATGAAATCATCACGAC